GCAAGCGGATTTCAGATATCTTAAAAATTAAAATATTTCATTTTTATACAATTGTTTAAATAACTATATCTCGCGAACGGTGCAACTACAAACGGAAATAATTGTACTACAGTTCACTACAAACGATTTTCTATAAGAAACAATGCTTAAAATTTCTGAACTTCAAAGTCGGGGGATGACAATTTTTATGTCGCTATATTTTTGTTTATGGGCTACTACAAACGAAATAAATGTTACTACATTCAACTACATACGAAGATCTTTTAGAAAAAAAAAAATATATATATTTGTGCAAGTTCACAAAGCCACCGATTATATTATAAAAGTGTTAGTATACCTAGAGAATTACAACAATATAAATTTTAATAAAAAAGTATTAGGTGTACAACTTTGCTGCCGCCGTTTTTTTCCGAAATTCGAGGCTTTATTGTAATAAACTGGTTATACATTTACGATTCGAAGTATTGTCCATCGCTGGCCATTACTTTCTTCCATCTTTCGAGCAACGTACGAATCCCACGTCGAAAAAACTGGTCATCTTTTGAAGCGATCCACGAATCGATCCAATTTTTTACTTCTTCATAAGACCGGAAGTACTGGTCAGCCAGGCCGTGTGTCATTGATCGAAACAAGTGATAGTCAGAGGGAGTAACGTCTGGAGAATACGACGGGTGGGATAGGACTTCCCATTTCAACGTTTCCAAGTATGTCTTGACCATTTTCGCAACATGGGGTCGAGCATTGTCATACTGCAAAATCACTTTATCGTGTTTCTCGTTGTATTGCGGCCGTTTGTCTTTCAATGCTCGGCTCAAACGCATCAATTGCGTTCGATACCGGTTGCCTGTGATTGTTTCAGTCGGTTTTAACAGCTCATAATACACTACGCCGAGCTGGTCCCATCAAATACAGAGCATGACCTTGGAGCCGTGAATATTCGGTTTGGCCGTCGACGTGGGAGCATGGCCGGGAACTCTCCATGATTTTCTGCGCTTGGGGTTATCGTAATGAACCCATTTTTCGTCCCCAGTCATAATGCGATGCAGAAATCCCTTCTGTCTTTGCCTTGCAAGCAGCTGTTCACAAGCAAACAAACGCCATTCAACATCTCTCGACTTTAATTCGTACGGCACCCAATTTCCTTGCTCCTGAATCATTCCCATGGCTTTGAGGCGTTTTGAAATGGTTTGTTGAGTCACTCCCAGTGATCGTGCCAATTCTTCTTGATTTTGACATGAGTCTTGATCAAGTAATGCCTCCAATTCTGCATCTTCGAAAACCTTCTCTCTTCCACCGCTATGCCGGTCTTCGAAGTCAAAATCATCGTTCTTGAAGCGTTGAAACTACTCACGACACGTTTTTTCACTAATAGCGGCCTCACCATAAGTATTTGCATTCGATGAGCCTCAGCCGCAGATTTCTTTATATTGAAGCAGAAAATTGAAATCTCCCGCAAATGACGAGAATTTGGCTCGTAAACTGACATTTTCAATCGAGAATAACTTTATGATGCAGACACAAATCGACTAATGTTTCTATGGGTTTATGTTGACAGATGCCCAAGTTTATTGTATGACGTCTATGATCTATTTATTTCGACCACCATTTACCGCTAAAGCCATCTATAGGGAAACTGCGGAAGCAAAGTTGTACATCTAATATTAATAGAAGCATTATAAGTCATTTATTTTATGTAATATAGGTTATATTCTAGAATTAACTTGCCAATCAAAAAATAATGTCCATCCAAGCATTTTTCTGGGCGGTATAAATTACAGTTCACATATATTTTTAATACATTTAGGATTTTTATATTTACCAATAATTAATAGGGGAAAGTGGGCGAATTGTGCGCACCTAAGGGATATTTGTTTTCTTGGGATGGTTTTCTAAGATCAAAGCGATATAAATATGGAAATAGAAACTATAAACA